ACAAGCACACACACACACACACACACTCACACACACAATCCCACACACTCGCACAGACACTCACACACACACACAAACACACACATACAATCCCACACACTCGCACACTCACGCAAACACTCACACACTCACACTTGCACTCACACACACACACAAGCACACACACACACACACACACACACACACAAACTACTACAAATGACAAAAACAACATTTCTAAAACTTTAAAATTACAATGAAAATGGAAAATATAAAAATAAAAACATTCAAAACATTAAGCTTGAATAATCGAGAGAAGCAGTCCTAAAATATATAAATAAATAAATACTAATGAACCAACAGAAAATGTTGTAAAGACAGAAGGGCCAACTGGATTTTCATGAAGTATGTTTTATTTCAGCTTCATGTCCTTTAACAAAATATTTTTAATAGTTTAGTTTTAGTTAACGGTGATGATTTTCTGTTCATAACGGCACGACATTCACAGATCCAGACATGATCATTAGCTCCATACAACCAATCATCTCTACAACCTGCCATTTCTGCTGATTGGGCGCCAGGTTTAGCCTCACAGACCCAATGAACCCGTGGAACGGGTGCGGTTTTGTATTTTCCACAGCAATCGATCCTCAGAACTGAGGCTGACATCATTACAGTGGCGTTATTCATGAGCAGCGAGGACATTCCCATTATTTTCCTTCACCTGAAGGATCAAACTGACAGCAGGGAACATCTCTCTTTGTCGCTGTCTCTGAGATTGATTCAGAAGTCGTGAAGCCGCTCTGAATGCTTAATCGCACCCTTCAGCGTCTGTCACAGAGGTGATCTCGGTCCTGCGAGTGGAGGGGAAGGTCTCACGGCTTTCCAGTGTCTGTTTAAAGTGATTAAAGACGACTACAGTTAAAGACGCTGTCAGTAGCACTTACACGGACCGAGTCTGATCATTACACACACAGAGCATTTCAACCACACTAAAGGCCTTGGTGTGCACTACCTACATAGGGAGCATCATAACGGACATTTACCCTAGTGTGAGTGATCTGGAACACACTACATAGGCAGCAACTCCGTGTGTTGCACAAAGAGGGCAAGATTTGATTCATAATCGATTCTAATAGGGTTCTTGCTCAGTATTTTTGTCTAGTTTTCCAGTACAAATATCTAAACATTCATAAATCAAGATACATTGAGATGCAACATTACATCGGATATGCGCTTGTTTTCTGGAGGAAAACATTTTAAATTAAGTACATTTATGATTAAAGCAAGAAAAATATCTGCCAATGGCATAACATTGTTTTTCATTTGAATTAAGTTTCTGATTCAACTGGACGATATTTCTTCTTGTTTTAAGTACGAACTCTTCGTAAGTTTTTCTTCGTATCGTAATTTCTTCAATTAAATATCGAAATATTCTTAAATCAAAATATCTTTTTGAGAAGCAAAAAAAGGGTCAGAAAAATAATCTTGTTTTCCCTTTGAATTAAGTTTATTTTTCTGACCTTATTGGAAAATATTTTTTCTTGTTTCAAGTAAAAACTCAGTTAATTTTTCTCAGTATTTTTGTCTTGTATTTCAGTAAAACACCTAAACATTCTTAAATCAAGAAAATAATAGATATAAAATCCTGTTCTCTAAAAAAAAGTATCAAAGTTAAGTAATTTATGCTTAAAACAAGAACAAATATCTGCAAATAATTATTACATGCAGACATTTGTTCATGTTTTAAGCAAAAACTCATTTTGATGCATTTTTCAGAAAGGAAGACTCTATATCTTGCGTCTCCAGGACATGTATCTAGATTTAAGAATGGTTAGGTATTTGTACAGGAAAACAACAGAAATAATGAGGAGGAAATCATTTTTGTAGTGTTATCCATAAGAATATTGAGATGATAACAAAATACTTTAATAAGCATAAAAAGAGACACAAGTAATCAAACTTTAGTATTGAAATAAGTATATTTACAATTAATATTTAACTAATCCATCATCCAGCTCATTGCAATTCATCCTGGGACTGTGCTCTTTGTACATACTTTTTGTTTTTCTGCCCTGTGAAAGTTACAGTACGTTTCATAACACAGCGAACCGGATGAGATCAAGCACATTTTGATTCCTTCATCATTCACAACCCATAATCTTCACATCTGCATTTTCACTCCGTCAGAAATTAAGTAGTTTGCGTTTCTGTTATATGCTTCAGTCATTTCAGGAAAGATCCAGTTCGTTCAGTTATCAGCGAATCATCAAGAAAACGCTCTCAAAGTGAATTATTTATTCACAAAGCTTTCTGAAAGTTGCATCACGTCTTGGCCAGACAGAAAAATATCATTTGGAGTCAGTAAAAAAAACAGTTGTGCTAAATGAAAATATCCAAGTCACACACACACACTCACTCACACACACACACACACTCACTCACTCACTTAGTCAGTCACACACACACACTCACTCACTCACTTAGTCAGTCACACACACACACTCACTCACTCACTTAGTCAGTCACACACACACACTCACTCACTCACTTAGTCAGTCACACACACACACTCACTCACTCACTTAGTCAGTCACACACACACACTCACTCACTCACTTAGTCAGTCACACACACACACTCACTCACTCACTTAGTCAGTCACACACACACACTCACTCACTCACTTAGTCAGTCACACACACACACTCACTCACTCACTTAGTCAGTCACACACACACACTCACTCACTCACTTAGTCAGTCACACACACACACTCACTCACTCACTTAGTCAGTCACACACACACACTCACTCACTCACTTAGTCAGTCACACACACACACTCACTCACTCACTTAGTCAGTCACACACACACACTCACTCACTCACTTAGTCAGTCACACACACACACTCACTCACTCACTTAGTCAGTCACACACACACACTCACTCACTCACTTAGTCAGTCACACACACACACTCACTCACTCACTTAGTCAGTCACACACACACACTCACTCACTCACTTAGTCAGTCACACACACACACTCACTCACTCACTTAGTCAGTCACACACACACACTCACTCACTCACTTAGTCAGTCACACACACACACTCACTCACTCACTTAGTCAGTCACACACACACACTCACTCACTCACTTAGTCAGTCACACACACACACTCACTCACTCACTTAGTCAGTCACACACACACACTCACTCACTCACTTAGTCAGTCACACACACACACTCACTCACTCACTTAGTCAGTCACACACACACACTCACTCACTCACTTAGTCAGTCACACACACACACTCACTCACTCACTTAGTCAGTCACACACACACACTCACTCACTCACTTAGTCAGTCACACACACACACTCACTCACTCACTTAGTCAGTCACACACACACACTCACTCACTCACTTAGTCAGTCACACACACACACTCACTCACTCACTTAGTCAGTCACACACACACACTCACTCACTCACTTAGTCAGTCACACACACACACTCACTCACTCACTTAGTCAGTCACACACACACACTCACTCACTCACTTAGTCAGTCACACACACACACTCACTCACTCACTTAGTCAGTCACACACACACACTCACTCACTCACTTAGTCAGTCACACACACACACTCACTCACTCACTTAGTCAGTCACACACACACACTCACTCACTCACTTAGTCAGTCACACACACACACTCACTCACTCACTTAGTCAGTCACACACACACACTCACTCACTCACTTAGTCAGTCACACACACACACTCACTCACTCACTTAGTCAGTCACACACACACACTCACTCACTCACTTAGTCAGTCACACACACACACTCACTCACTCACTTAGTCAGTCACACACACACACTCACTCACTCACTTAGTCAGTCACACACACACACTCACTCACTCACTTAGTCAGTCACACACACACACTCACTCACACACACACACAC